TATATTTAATCAATTGTTAGGTCTGCTGCTAGTTGGTTCACTGTGTCATGCTGGACTGTTTTTTTCACCTGAATCTATCCTACATAAGTCGACGATTCATCCATGCTTTGAATATTGCTGCCAAATATAGTCTGGTCCCCTCCCCTGTTAGGTGACAGAGATATCAGTTCTCTGGTAGATGCAAGGCATTTTTTGTTTTTCGAGTGTGTATTTTGTAGTTTTTGTCTGGAAGAGTGTTTGAGTGAATATTTGGTCAAATAATTATTATTAATTACCCAGTCCTGCATTAATTTCATCCACAATTAATGATTGTGGGCAGAGGAGGATATTACTAACATTAATTTTTTATTTTTTTTATTTTTTTATTCCCCACCCCACCTACAGACAAATTGTACATATGGGAAATAGTTAGGACTACATAAAGACTTAGAGGTATTATGGTGTCCGTAGTAAGAATAGTAAGTAAGAATGTGTTGTTTTGGTGTAAGGAAAACTGTGATATATTTGGGTCAGTAAATGTGGATAGCTAAGTTTAAGATAAGACAGACTGAAAATCAGCCTTCCCTTATCCCCCCCTTTTCGCCTTGTGCTATACTTTTATATTTTACAAAATAAATATTACTTTTCTCTATGGTACCTAGACTTTATGAATTTAGGCACAGCACTATATTAATGGCAAAGTCTCATCACTTTGCAGTTGAATTGGCTAGATGTAATCATAAGTCCTATGCCAGTAGTTTCTTTTCTCGCACTTCTTGTTTGTGGAACTCTCTTCTGACTACTTGCTTCTCAGTCAAGTTTGATCTTAAAAAATTTAAATGCAATGTCAATCATTATCTTCTGTCTTCTGAGTTCCTGTTCTTTTATTATTCTCGATCTATAATAATGATTAATAAGGCCAATACACTTAGTCACGATGACTTGTAACTTTGTGCTAGCATAATCATCAATGAACATTTCTGTCTACCCAATTTCACTCACATGGTTTGTCTTTTAGCAACTTTTCAAAGTTGCTACATGCTGGAATCACCTCCTGGGGCTGTTTACATCAAGAAGTTACCATCCTGACAAATCAACCAGAGTGAAATTCAAACCCGAGTCACATGGTCTGAAAGCAACCTTTCTAACCACATGCCCATAATACATACACATCAGCATCATCAGAGAAATGAATTTTATTTCAACCAAATATATATTGGCAAGACAGAACATAAATCATATTTGTTATATGAATGCCAGATCTTTCCTTTTTTTTTTTAAATTATTTTTGAGATTAGATTTTACAAATATTTTTATATTCATTTGTTTTCAGATGTTTTTGTATCTCATATTGTTTCAACACCAGTTTAGTATGAATGGGTGATATACTGAAGAAGCCCAATCATATATTAACTGCAATAGATTTGTGTGTATGTGTGTATATATATATATATATATATATATATATATATATCTTTTCACTGAATAGTATAGACATATTGTGTCTATTTATTTTTATACTGATTCTTTCCATTTGTCTAATCAGTTTCTTGATATTAAGATCAAATTCATCAAGAAAGGCGCCGTCATTTTTTGTCACCCAAGTACTTTCAATTTTTCCAAGATCATCTTCAGGAGTGAATTATAAAGATATATTCTGAACCCATTTTTGCAACATGTCCAGCTGTTTTCCATTTAACAAGATCTCAGCTGACTGATATTGCTACACTACCTCTGTGGTTAATGGTAATCTTAGGGCAAGTGGATTTTAAATTTTAGATACCCACTCTCTAAAAATTAGATACCATGCACTAATGGGTTAAATAAATTCAGCATCTTTCTTCTATATGCCACATTCCTCCAGAATGTTGGCAACCATGGCTCTCCACAATTTCCTGTCCTTTGTAGTGTTTAATAAATTTAGACTTTTTGTTATCTCTCCTGAACACTGTTCTGCCATCCTAAATGGATGGCAGAACAGTATTTAGGAGAGACTAGCAGCATGGCCCAGCATTGCCCATGCTTGATTCAAAAATTGTACGACTCATACAGCAATCACTATCACTTGACTTAAATATCTTTGCCCATTCTTGCCTTTAAAGGAGTGCCCTTTGCCGTGCTGATGTTGCTACATGCCTTACTTCTTGCCTATCTCACACTGCAAATTTTTTCTAAGCTCTATACTAAACATTAAATCTGTTATGAAAAAAGAACTAAACAAAATGAACACAAAATGATCAGCTTTAAAAAAGGACTCGTAACTGGAAAAACCGAATGAAAAAAGAATGTTAACAACAAATACTTTTTCACACCCAACCCAGTTCTGCGGAATCAGAATCAACGTTGAGTTTAAGCAAGTGAATGAGCCAATTGGAGTAAAGTGCCATGCAGATTTAAATTTTTCCCACTTGTGATGAATGCAGCTATCGATTTTTTTTGCATGCTAGCATTCTAGTTAACATTCATGTCAGTCAGCTGCTGGCTCTCACGCTGGCCAATAGAATCTTCCTGCCTCAATATATATATAGGTATATGTATATTTACATATTTATTTTAATTTACATATGCTTAATACGGCCCGTCAAAAATGTGTAAATTTCTTTTCATTTTTCATTTCAACCTTTGGAAGTAAAGTCTGATGATCCAGAGCCCTTTAAAAAGGCTGTGGTGAAATAATTTATTATATGGAACCTTAAAGTGGTCTATTTTCATTCAAATTTATTTGCTCTGAATTTACATTGAGCTCTCTGGATATCATCCTCTTTGGATCTACCCATACGGATTACCTAGTTTTGCATAAACTATATATATATATATATATATATGAAGAAAAATATATACGGAAAAAACAAAACAAAAATCCTTATATACAATTATGCTGTTTTAATGTTAATATCTCAACGTCTGATGTTTCGGTCTAATAAACCATCTTCAGGACATATTCATAATATAACATTATCAATACAACATGACAAAGACGATGTACTTAAGAACAAGACTTATCCAAACAAATAACAGTTATTTGTTTGGATACTTCTGTATCAATAAAAAAAAAAAAAATTGGGAAACATGGTGAAGTAATGGATAGCAGCTTAGATTGAGGAATTGGCGAGCCAAGTTTGAATTCCAGTTAAATCCATTAAGTTCACTTACATGCTAATATCCTTGGGAAAGGTATGAATCCTCTTCTTCTCCCGCCAGCTATGGGTAACTAGCAGGACAGATTGGGTTCTATAGCCTTGAATGGCAACTGGTCTACCGCAGAAAGAAATGGCAACCTACTGTGGGAAAAAAATCTGCCTCGTCAGTCATGTATCAAAAGATACATGATCGTCAAAGCTTGTATCACACATGGCGCATAACAGATTGATCTATAAAAATAACATATAAAAATATATATATATATATATATATATATATATATATATATATGATGTAATGGAATAACCTGTCACCCCCATGAGTGACTACACTATAGGTAGTAGCTACCTATAAGTATCTGTAAGTCAATGGACAACAGAATTTAGCTGGGATCTTTTGAGTATGACTTACGCAAGAACTACCAACCTTCCAATAGTAGTACTCACTACTGGATTGATTTGCAACAACCTTGTGCATAACTCTACCTTTATTGTTATTGTACTGGTTATTACGATAAACCTTTACTTATTTTATCCACCATGTTTGTCAAGTATATATTCCTATTAGTACAGAATACAACAATATATACATACATACACACACACACACACACACATATATATATAAAACATTTGGCAGCATATAATTTATATACAAAGAAATAATCACGCATATAATCAATCAGCAATATAAATGCTATTATTGGTGACATCCATCGCTAGTAGTGTATAATGTATGCATTAAAATACTGTTAATCCATAGAATGATGTGATCCTCATTTATAAAACTGTTGTCTGTTGTTTCCAGTTAATATTTTTTTTTAAATGTAAGTACTTTCGAATAATCCTTTATTCATCGTCAGGCATATTTTTTTCCTTATAAAATCAAAACTTGGGGACGAAATAATTGTTTGTAGACCGAAAGATATTTTTTTTGAGAATGTGCTATAAATGAGGATCACATCATTCTATGGATTAACAGTATTTTAATGCATACATTATACACTACTAGCGATGGATGTCGCCAATAATAGCATTAATATTGCTGATTGATTTTATGCATGATTATTTCTTTATATATATATATATATATATGAGAGAGAGATGGAGAAAGAAAGAAATAGAGACGGAAAATTTGAGCAAAGAAATGCTAATTCTTCATACTAAATGAAACAATATTTTATGAAATATCAATTTGGCCAACTTAAATTTTGTTTTACAGAAACCATATTAAAGTGAATTAATGCGAGTTAAAAGCTTGTTTCCCCTGAAGCCTTATAATACTTACAGCAAAACTAAGATTGTTTCAATCTTCGAGAACAAATGGCAAACAATATCAGGGTTTCTAAGCAAACTTCCAACAATAAAAACCTGGGTCATTGGCTTCAAATAACCATTGTTGCCAAACAGTTAGACCTTGAGAGCTAATAGTGTATTAAACTACAGAAGAATAATATAGAATTTATAACAGAGCCTGCAGAAAGTCCATACAATTAGGGTTAATCATAGCAAGGTCAGTTAAGCAGTAATCCCTAGAACTTCCCCCTAAACCAACCAGTATCCAATCAATACATAAACCTTGGATAAATATTGATCAATATTTATCCAAACAAAATAAATCTCCTATTGAAAACATTTTAAATAATGAAAAAGTGTGATGTGATGCATTTTGTTAGCTTATGATAGAGAAACGTTTGCCAATTTAAATAGTGAAGACAATTTTTTTAAAAGCACAATACACAACTGTTCCATTTTGTAATAACTCAAATTCATAAATAAAAAGTTACTATAGTAAGTAAGAAATAATTTTTCATATCAGAAAGTGATGAATGGTTTTATGCCATGTGAAAATGATTAAAATGCACTTTATAAAGAAAGAAGTTAAAAAAAAAAATATGACCAATTATAAACAGGAAAAGTGAAGTGAGAATAATGGGAAAGAAAAAGAAAACCAGAGTGCAGTAAACAGAGTAAAGGAATATAAGCAGAATAAAACAGAGATAGAGAGAATGAGAAGTAAGAAAGATATCCACAAGAGTGAGAGGTGAGTAAGAAAGCCACAAGAGTGAGGGGTGAGTAAAAAAGCCAAAAGTGAGAGAAGAGGAGGAAAAAGCCAAAAGTGAGAGAAGAGGAGGAAAAAGCCATAAGTGAGAGAAGAGGAGGAAAAAGCCGAGAGGAGGAGGAAAAAGCCAAGAGGAGGAGGAAAAAGCCAAGAGGAGGAGGAAAAAGCCAAAGGAGGAGAAAAGCCAAGAGGAGGAGGAAAAGCCAAAAAGGAGGAGAGAAAGCCAAAAAAAAGAGAGAGGAGGAGGAAAAGCCAAAAGTGAGAGAAGAGGAGGAGGAAAAAGCCAAAAGTGAGAGAAGAGGAGGAAAAAGCCAAAAGTGAGAGAAGAGGAGGAAAAAGCCAAAAAGAGAAGAGGAGGAAAAAGCCAAAAAAAGTGAGAGGAGGAAAAGCCAAAAGTGAGAGAGAAGAGGAGGAAAAAGCCAAAAAGTGAGAGAAGAGGAGGAAAAGCCAAAAAAGTGAAAAGAGAGGAGGAAAAGCCAAAAGTGAGAGAAGGAGGAGGAAAAGCCAAAAAGTGAGAGAGAGGAGGAAAAAGCCAAAAGTGAGAGAGGAGGAGGAAAAAGCCAAAAGTGATAGAGGAGGAGGAAAAAGCCAAAAGTGAGAGAGGAGGAGGAAAAACCAAAAGTGATAGAGGAGGAGGAAAAAGCCAAAAGTGAGAGAAGAGGAGGAAAAAGACAAAAGTGAGAGAAGAAGAGGAAAAAGCCAAAAGTGAGAAATGGAGAAACCATGCAGGAAGAAAGGCATGAGACAGAGAGAGAAAAGGAAATCATGAGAGTGGCGATGATGCCACGAGAAAGAGGCAGGAGAAAAATAAAGTCATGAGAAAGAGGGAGAAATAGAGAAGAAAATCACAAGGGAAAGGTGGGAAAAACTTAAGAGAGAGATAGTAGAAAAATAAAGCAGAGAGAGAGAGTGAGAAAAGGAGAAACTTTCTCCTTACAAACACAATACATAGAGAATGTCGATGATTCAACCCTGTGTACATGGTGTAGCACATCCGAGCTGTGAAGAGCTGAACTGTTGGAACAAAGAAATGGAGTTCATCTGAACATTTGCCATGAAAATAGCGATAGACTCGCAAAGTTTCATCTCGGGGGAAGGAGTTGTAAAGTAGGAAATAGTTCAATACCTAAAACTTTTTGCAAATGCTTTTTAACTATCAAAACATGGTGTTAGAATAATCTTAGGTGAGTAATTGATGTGAGGGAGATTTTTTTGAAGAAGTTTGTAACAAAATTGATTGGATGAAGATAACTTGAAATCTAAGCAAAGAAATTGTAATTTTTGGTTAATTACATTTTAAATCAAGAAAATTAGTATGACTTTATTAATCCTCATTAACAAAATGATAACTGCTTACTCAGTTTAGTATATCACAAGATTAAAAGTGTACAGCCGACACTGGTACTGACTTTTTAGAATAGTTTGCCAAACTTTGTTCATTGGTTAGATATTTCCTAAATGTAGCTTAGTTTGGCACATGGTCAAGAATTATGAGTCACCCAGTAAGGAATGAATTCCACTGATCAATGAAAAAATATTTGTGCTTTTCCTAAGCTTAAGTTGGTTTATTAGCCTTTAGCATGCTGGAGGTGCATTCTGTTGCCTTGAGATGGTTGCTATAAATAAACATTTTTCAGCTGTTATTTCTGGTAATAACAGTTGACAAGTGTTTATGCTAACATGCATGCTAAAGGTTAAGATCACCACATTTATTAATTTCATACTTTTTGACCCTTTAATTTATTTTCTGGCTCTCTCTTTTATTAAGACCTTCTTGTTTATATGACATTTTTTTTTTTTTAAGCATTCAACCCCAAACAAGGCGGGAAGCCACTAGCATGCAAGGGGTTACAGAGAGTTGGAGTGAGAACAAAGAGAAATGATAGAGGAGAGGATGAAGAGAAGGTTAGGGGATAGATCAGGGCATCTGGAGACGTCAATTGACGTTACATTTGAATAGTTGGAGATTATAGCTATCAAGTAAACAAGAAATGGGGAGGGAGTTCTACAGGTGAGAAGTGCGAGAAATGAAGCTATTAGAGTAGAAGAGACAGCTACATTTAACAGTTTTGACAGTGAAAGGGTGAGAGCAAGATGCCAACCTAGTTGAACGCTTAAATTCATGAAGTCTGGCAACCAGTGAAAGCAGCTCACCAGAGCAGTTATTTGTAAAAAAGACAGAGGGAGGCAACGGCACGTCTGTGAGAGAGCAGATGCAGATGAGATGCCAGATCAGGGCCAATTACATTGCATATCTGTCTTTGGATTTTATCAGGGACCTTGAGACAAATAGAAGGGGCTCCAGACCATATATGGAAGATTGAGAAAAACTGAACTCCCCCAATTAATAAGATCCCCACCTTATATTAGAAACCAAGGAGTAATTAGCTTAGTAATCCTAACAAAAGTATTTTCATTCATTTAATATCATGTTATAATTCTGCTCATTAGTTAGCATATAATTTATTCCCTGACAATAATTCATAAATAATGGACTATTCTGTTTTGATCACAGGGAAAAGATATAAAGATGCCGTTTGGTTTCAGTGAGAGATAGAGAGTGAAAGAGAAGGTGAAAGGGTGAGAGAGAAAGAGGGTGAAAGAGAAAGAGGGAGTGAAAGAGAGATAGAATGAAAGAGAGAGAAAGTGAAAGAAAAAGTGAAAGAGTGATAGAAAAAGTGAAAGAGTGACAGAAAGAGAGAGAATGAAAGAAAGAGTGAAAAAGAGAGAGAGAGAGCAAGTGAAAGAGAGAGAGAAATTGAAGAGAAAGAAATATGACCTACTAAAAGGTTATAAAAAATAGGGGATGTAAATGATAACAAAATTTATGGTTATATTTATGATCTTCTGTATGCAGTGTCCTGCCATATAGGAGGATTAATATTACATAGCAGTTCAGTCCTCTTTTCTGTTTCTTTCACTATTCCAATGTATCTCTGGATTTGTTGCATCCTGTCAGCACTCCCACATTTTTTAAAAACAACAGAAAAAAAACTTAACCAGCATTGTTGTAAGACTGACTCAAGATGTAGAAAGGCTTCAAAGCAATGACAAAATAAATACTACAGTCCAGATGACAAGGATCAAAATGTAGTATCTGTTCCAGCAGCTAACATTGCTCCCGCCATCAGCCAGAAATCATCATCGTCATCACCTCCAACTCGCCATTGGTCACCACTCCAGCCATCTCCAGTAGGCATCACATGCCTGCTGCACCAGCCGTCTCCAGTAAGCCTCCATCTCCTGGTGCATCAGCCATCTTCAGCAGGCCTCCGGCTGCAGCCATCCTTGCAAGCAGCAATGACGTGCAATAAACTGTCCCTTTGAGGACAATACTCTTCAACAACCACAAAACTGTCCTTCTCAGGACAACACTCTTTTCACCCACTACATGTGTAGATATTTTTTGCCTAGTGCACTGTAACCTCATTTCTGTTGATATTTTTTTTTAATGAAAAACTTGGCTATATATTTTTTACTCAAGTCTTTTTTTTTTGTTTGTTGTTGTCTTCCATCATTCAATATCTGTTTGCAGGCTAATAACAGCACCCACAACAGACTTCTGTGCAACCTTTTCTGTACTTGCTCAATTTGTAGCCCAAATATACTACTGCCCTTGTACTCTCTTGTCAGTACTAGGGCTTGGGCAGTTCAGATAATCGTGGCAGTGTGGTTTGCCTAAGTACTAACTCATTGACCATTTTCTGTCAACCATTGTTGTGGCATGCTAATGACAATACAGTGGCAGCAAGATTATCAGAGATTTTTCTGTTACTTATATTAGTAGGTTTAAATTTTATTATTACTAATATACAAAGAAATTTAAATATCTAGATAGACATTTCCTCACAGATAAAGAGGAAACAAAGACAGAGAACTGTGGTTATACAAAAGGACACTGAGAATACCACAGACAGAGAATGTGACAAATGAGGAAGTTTCAAGGAGTATATGAACTACAAGGAAATTGTTGAGAACAAGCAGAAAAAAGTAATTAAAATTTCTAGAACACATAAGGAGAAATGCATGGAGAATTTAACACTCACAGGGTACTAGAAATGCTAGAAAGGAGAAAAAAATCAACAGGTAAATGGCTTAACAAGTTTGAGAAATGGGTGGAGGACAAAGAGCTGCCATAAAAGATGTCTCCATCCATCCATCCATCCATCAGGTCCACTGCAGTTGAGATAATAGTGTCATTGTCAACTCCACAGTCCTTTAATTGGCTTCATAGTATGTGCTTTGCCAGGGCTTCATATGCTTATTCCTTCTCCTAGACTGGTTTCCAACCATGTCTCTATTGAATAATTGTATAATAGAATCCAAAGATGACACTCAACACAATGTACACAGTAATGCGTAAGTAAGTCTCTATCCATCTATATGCCCAATGAAACTAAAACATGTATTATTTTATATAAGGAATTGCAGAAGTGATTAAACATTTCAAAGCCTCATGCTAAAGACAATATAACATCATTAAAATCCATTCTTTCATTTCACTTATCTTCAATAACCATCACACTTCCTTCACTTTTATGGCCTCTGACAATTATTAAACTTATTAAGCTTAAACTTCTTATTGTTAAGCTTCTTGAAAGGCCAAGTGAAGATTGCATATTTCAGGAAAACATATGAAGATGGAATCAAACAATTTATTAGAAGAATGCCTTCCAAAAGTTTATATTCTGAGTTTTTTTTTCAAAAGGAAAAAATATAGAAAAGTTCCAACCAATACTTGCAAGACCTGGAACTATAAATAGTAAGGCACTGATTATTCTGCTCCAATAGGATTCATTGAAATCTGGACTTACCTGCAAAAGAAAATTTAAAAAAATTATATTATACAGACAGATTTAGGTAACAGAATTTAATAACTCTCTCTCTATATATATATATATATATATATATATATATATATATATAGATAGATAGATACACACACAGAGTCCCCTCCAAAAGTATTGGAACAGCAAAGCCAATTCCTTTTATTGGGGTTAAGAACAAAAGATGAATATGAGACAAGAGTTCAGCTTTTATTTCCTGGTATTTACATTTAAATGTGTTAAACAACTTAGGACATACCACCTTTTGTTTGAACCCACCCATTTTTGAAATGAGCAAAACTGTTGGAACATGTGACTGACAGGTGTTTCTTGTTGTCCTAGGTATTGCCTTTTAGATTGTTTAAACATTAAATAGCTCTGAATGACTACTCTTTGTTTTAGTCTTGGGTTTCCCCTGTAAAGACTGTATTTCTTGTTAAAAAGGATAAACCAACAATGAAAAGAGCTGTTTATCAGAGAAAAGCAAGTCATATTGTAACTGAGAAAAAGATGGAAAATCAATCAGAGCCATTGGATAAACATTGGGCATAGCCAACACAACAATTTCATCAGCAGTAAAAATGGGAAGTCTAGATTGGAATTTGCAAGGTAGTACAGAGGTGAGTGACAGAAATTCTGGAAGAATATTTTATGGACTGACTAGCAGCATGGCCCAGCATTGCCCATGCTTGATTCAAAAATCATACAACTCATACAGCAATCACTATCATTTGACTTAAAATATTTTTGCCCTTCCTTGCCTTTTTTTTTTAAAGGAGTGCCCTTTGCTGTGCTGATGTTGCTACATGCCTTACTTCTTGCCTATCTCACACTGCAAATTTTTTTCTAAGCTTTATACTAAACATTAAATCTGTTACGAAAAAGAACTAAACAAAATGAACACAAAATGATCAGCTTTAAAAAGGACTTGTAACTGGAAA